CAAGCTGAAAGCTATAAAAAAAAAAACCTCACAATTTCCATTTAAGTATGATATTTTTCAGTTTGGAATTCTAATGAAGCAATGTTTTCCTGAGACACTGGGTTTGATATGTAAAGTTATAAATATGACTGATTAATGTATTTGAGTTGTACATGCCATGAAACTTACATGTTTTTCATAGTCATCACAAAATTTTAATTGATTATTTTATTGGTACTTAAATTGACTTATAGTTGAAGCAGCTAATTAAACAATTACTGTGATCATGTTAATTTCATTACAGAAATTCTTTCCTAAACAATGTATTTGTGTTTATATTTATATGGTACTTCATAATACTTTCATTCTGGATGAGGAATTCTTTGGCTTGACAGACTATTGATACTTTGTTGTAGGAGGCTATACTGTGCATTATAGGATGTTTAGCAACATCCCCAGCCCCTACTGCATAGAGTCAGTAGCATGTAGCAGTTGTGACAATCAAAAATATTTCTAGACATTACCAAATATTCCCTGGGAGGTAAAATCACTCTTAGTAGAAATTAGGTGTGAAATTTCATTTCTAAAGGTATTAGGGTTTACCTGTAACAAAACAAAACCAAAAAATTGCTTAGATTAGGCTGTACTAGGAAGCATTCCTGGGTTTTGTTGATCTTCTTTCCCACTACGCACCAATAACTTCCCAAGACCTCACAACCCAATTTATCAGAGCATGCACAAAAATGCTGTAGAAACTTCTGTACTCTACAGTATTTCTCTGCTTCCCAGAAAGATCAGTATCTTATTCTTTTTTTAAATTTGGAATTCCAATCAAGCAATGTTTTCCTGAGACCCTGGGTTTGATGTGTAATGTTAGGAATATGGATGATTTAACAGATTTGAATTGTGTATACCATGTGCTTCTTGCACAATGAATTTGTTGGATGAATAAGTATTATAATTATTTTTTTCTTAGATATAAATTTACAGACCTTGAACAATGTGTAGCTATTGTCTTTTGCTTTGTAAATCCTTGTCCTTTGTAATCTTAAAGAAAATTAAGAGGCAATTACAATTTTAGAAATGACCTACATACCCAGATTTGTCAGGTAACACTGGTGTCCAAACCAGCCTGCCTCTAGATATATAACATTAAGGAAAAATGCCCTGTAGTCTTCATAGGTTGCCCTCTGCTTCAGAGACCCCCAATGCTGGTGTAATCATTAAGAAGAAGGAGGAGGAGATGCTCTGTTTTCAGTTTTTTTTCCTATCAAGATAACTTCCAGCAATCTAGAGAAACAACATTCTAGGAAAGTAGATGATTGTGAGAAAAAAGAAATGTTGAAAGGCCTCCTCCTTTCTCCTTCAATTAGAAATGTACCTCTAAATTTCATTAGAATTTGTTAGTTGTCTCTAAGTATTGTCCGTGGATATAGTAATAAAAATAGGTCAAATTCTCATTCTTATCTCTGGCTGCTCACTGATTTACTCTCCAGTTTCTTGAAACAGCACTCCACACACACCTGCTTTCCACATACACCAGGAAGTGTCCCACATATGCTCATCAATATTTACTCACAATTCAGGTGATCACTGACAGGTCCCCCACTGCATGACATCTCTAAAAACTTCCGGTGAGTTTAGATTTGGTATCATGCCAGCAATATCAAATGTGATCCTACCACTGCCTTTCTAACTTCATCTCCTGCTGTGCTTCGCCTTACTCAAGCCTCAAGAGGACTGGCTTTCTTTCTGTTTCTCTGATACATCACATTTGCTTCTGCCTCATAGCCTTTGTGTTTATTGTTTTCTCTGCCCAGAACGTTCTTAACCTTTGCATGACTGGTTCTCTTTTTATCATTCACCAAGGTTAAACTGCAACTTCCTCAGAGAGGACATCTCACAATCACACTCCGTCTCATTACTATGTTACCATGTACCACTGTTTGAAATTTTATTTCTTTGTTTACCATCTGTTTCCTTCACTAGAATGCGAGCCCCATGCCTTTTTTTTTTTTTTTGCTTTTGCTTTTTGTTACTAGGGATTGAACCCAGGGGTGTTTTACCACTGAGCTGCATCCCTCATACTTTTTGTTTTAAAATTTTGAGACAGGTTCTCACTAAGTTGGCAAGAGTTGATACATTGCTGAGGCTGGCATTAAACTTGCAATCTTCCTGCCCCAGCCTCCTGAGTTGCTGAGATTACAGGCATGCACCACTGTGTCTGGCTGGTTTATTTACCTTTTAATTTAGCACTGGATCCTTAATGAATTATGGAGCACAAAAATGAATTAAGTGCATATAAGTACAAAATTTCATAGTGCATTTATGAAATTTTGAAATAAAATTTTCAGTCTATAAGGAAAAGTGTATTTTGGGTGCAGTGATGCACACCTGTAATCCCAGCAATTTGGGAGGCTGAGGCAGGAGGATCACAAATTCAAGGCCAGTCTCAGCAATTAGCAAGGTACTGTCGAAAAAAATAAAAAGGACTGACGATGTAGCTCAATATTAAACAATTACTGTGATCATGTTAATTTCATTACAAAAATTCTTTCCTAAACAATGTATTTGTGTTTATATTTGTATGGTACTTCATAATACTTTCATTCTGGATTAGGAATTCTTTGTCTTGACAGACTATTGATACTTTGTTGTAGGAGGCATCCTTGGATTTGATCTCCAGTGCCAAAATATAAAAACAAATAATTAGAAGGAAAAGTATGATTTATGCATAAAGAATCCCCCTTGGTGTCCATGGGGGATTGGTTCCAGAGAACATAAAAATCTGAGAATTAAAATGGTATAGTACTTGCATATATTCACATTTTTTCATATATATTAAATCATCTCTATAATATCTAATACAAGGTAAATAGCTGTAATACTATATTTTTTAGGGAATAATGACAAGGAAAAGGGTTAGTACATGTTCTGTACACATTTAAGTTTTTTTCCAAATATTTTTGATTCATGGTAGGTTGCATATGTGAATGCAGAATGCATGGATAGGGGAGACTGTACAAGTTGGAAAATGATTCATATTAGATTGTTAAATACACAAAGATAGGTATCTTGTCTGTTTTTATTTATTTATTTTATTTTTTGTCCATTGTGTTCAGACCTGGTATATTCATATATACGATAGGAATTCAACATATGTTTACTCATTTGAAATAAAGACAGGAACAAATGTGTGATTAGGTGTTAGAGAAAGATTTATTCCAATTGAAGGAATTAGGGAAGATTTTATTGAAGAAATGGTATTTGACCTACAACTTAAAAAAAAATGCATGTGATTTGGATAAAAAGAACAGGATAGTGGGAGCCGTGAAGGAAAAGACTTCAAGGAAGAAGTATCAGCAGGAACAAGGCACAGAAGAAAATAATCGACTAATCTAGGGAAGAGCATGTGCTTCATGAGGTTGCAGTTTGGGTCACTTAAACACAGTAGTAGAATTGGTGCCAGATTAAGAGGTTTAGATTTTATTTTTAGGCAAGAGGGAGACTGACATGTGCAGAGATATACTTAAAAAAAGATAAACCTGCCAACAATTATCAAATGCACTGAAGTAAATACAAGCTGTATGAAGAAGCAATTGTAGTTTGAAGGCTAGTGTAACATTCCAGAAAGAAATAGCAAGGGACTGGTGAAGAGTTACACCTGGGTCATAATGGAGAGGAGGCAATAGGTTTGGAAGATATTCATAGAATAAGATGGTGCCTGAAATTTATGTGATGCAGAAAGCCAGAGAAAGGAAAAATAAAAGTTCACAAATAAGCTTTTTTAACTTGAGTGATTAATATTAGAAATATCACTAAAAAAAAGTCAAGTTTCCTGAAGGCAGTGGTCATGTTGGCTGGTTAATGAGGAAAATTCTGAGTTTGATTTTGGTAATTTGAGTTTGAAGACTTTGTTGAGTATCTAGGTATGAGCAAAGCTTGGGTGATGAYGGTTGGAGATACGTTGTCCATGTGGAAGAGATGGCTGAAGTCACAGATGTATTCCTGGAAGAGCATTGGTAGGAGCAGACTCTGGGAAATAGATCCATAGTGCCTTCATTCCATGTGCTGAATGAAGCCTTGCTGGGCCCTAGTGATAGATAATAATGGGGTTCAGATAGTAGAGGATATTTTGGAACCTCTAAGCTAGAGTAACATCAGTGGGCTTTGCTTTGGTGTGTGTGTGTGTGTGTGTGTGTGTGTGTGTGTGTGTGTGTGTGTGTCTGAGGGCAGAACTGGGGGTGCATTTTACTGTAATGATTTAGTGATTTCCATTTCTAACAAATGCAATTTTTGTAATGGACAGAAGGGGGCAGCAGAGCCCCACTTTTCAAAGGATCAAACAAATTTCAGCAGAAAGACCACCCTCTGCCTTTCTGTGTATCTTTTTTTGGTTGTTGTTGTTGTTGTTAAGGAAGTTATATTCCCCTTTTAAAGTTATAGAAAATAATTTCTTTCCTAAGTTGCTGTCTTTGGGCACAGTGTATGGATTGAATCTTTACTTAGGGGGCCTGTGTCTCTAATCTGATTTTGGTGATCTCTTTTAAAGAAAGGAGTTAAGAATTTGTTTACTGGTGATGGTCTGATGCTGTTTCACTGGAGAAGGTAGAAGTGTGAACTGCAATTGGGAATTTTTAGCCTGAGCGCTAAATCCAACCTGAAGACTCAGGTTTGTATTTAAAGAACAAAAATTATGGGGATGAGGCTGTACCCTACAACACACAAGGCAGCACACAGGATTGATCCCCAACACTGAAAAAACAAACAAACAAACAAAAACCAAAAATAAACCCTATCATTGCTGTTAGACTTTAAATATATGTTTGTTATTATACAATCCATGTTGACTATAGTCTATTGTCCTTGTTGCTGCTATTGGCTGAGTTTCCTGAAATCAGGTTGACCTGGGATAGGGTTTGAAATTAAGCCACAATAAGCTAGACTTCTAACCTAACTTACTACTGCAGGACTTCCATTCTTTGCAATCTGTCATTTTACCTGTCTTCCTTACTGTTTAGATTGCCCACGGAGCCAGTGGCATGAGGTCTCTTGTTTCTAGTGCTTTGCTCGCTGTGTCAGGTGATGTGATGTCATTGCTGACCCGAGTGGTAGGTCTTAATGTTGTCCTTCAGTGTGCCAGAGCCATGCTGGGCCCCATGCAGGGATGAAGGGCTGCCTTTTCCCTTTTCTGGTTTGCTTTGTTAATGAAGAACAGCCTATCTATCATATATGTTATCATATCTGTAAGCCTCCTTTGCAATAGGGTTTGATAATTTTTATTTTTTGAGTGTTAGTGAATTGGTATCAAAGCATTTTTAGCACAGTGTCTTATGGAATTTTAATTTTTGTGTGTAGTGTTGGGGATCAAACCCAGAGCCTCATGTACACTGGGCAAGTAGTCTGCAACGAGCTATATCTCCACTCCTATCTTTACATCCTTAACTGTGCTCTTTCCTCTGGTCACCCCACAATATCACAGGTTCTTTGATTATGCATTCCCCTTAAACTTGGCGGCCTCTGTTCATACTATTTTTTTCCATTCAAATGTTCTACATCTTTTCTGTTTCATGAATTTCTCTTTCCTGCCCTATTTTTCTTTTTCCCCCATATCATTTGTACTTTTCTAATAAGTTATATAATTTATTATGTTTGCTTGGTAGTCTTCCTTCTTCCTCCTAGAACCCCACAAGGATCAGGGATTTTTGTTTTGTTCACTGGATATATCCAATGCCTAGAATACTGCTGAGACCCCAACAGGTACTTAATAAATGTTTTTAACAATGTTTAAGTGAACAAGTGGATCCTTGAAAGCTCAACTCAAATGTCATCACCTCAGTGAAGACTTCTGTTCTGCTTCTACTCCCAATTCTGGATAAAATTTGTTTATTTTTCTTGTATTTTACCATATCAATTTGTTCAAATTTGCATTATAGTGCTTATTCCACTGTTTGAGAGCTGCTTCATAGTTCATACAAATGATAAATAATAAAACATAACATTAAATTGGTAGTTTTGACTAAACACTAAATTGTAATAAATATGGAATTCCAAAGTGAGATGCTGTCTATTGATGCCCATTTTCATGAACTTCTTGACTCTTAAAAAACTCCAACCACATGGTGGATATTAAGAGGTCAAGAAAGAGGAGATGAAGTGACTCAGGAGGCTGAATCAGGAGTATCGAGAGTTTAAAGTGAGCCTCAGCAATTTAGTGAGGCCCTTTAGYAATTAGTAAGACCCTGTCTCTAATAAAATATGACAGAGGGCCAGGAATGTGGCTTAGTGGTTAAGTGGCCCTGGGTTCAAACACCAGTAACAAAAAGAAAAGGGTGAGGGGCAGGGAGATGAGAGGTGGGATGAGGATTTTTCTTGGGAATGCTGGGCTGGGTGCTGCCCCCACGAGAGGGAGTGTGGAGAGTGCTTTTACCTTCAATTCAAGAGAGGTTCCTAAGGGACCCTGGCTGTTGGGAGGCACAGCTGCTTCCTGAATCTTGCCTAGAATTTGTAAAAGGCAAAGGGACAGAGTGGTCAGTTCTCTAGTGGTAGAAGCCAGGGGCCACTCCCACAGTTAGCTGATGAGAATTTTCTTGGAGTGAGTATGAACCACTTGGGAGACTCACCCAGTCTGGAGTCATTTAAAATCCTTCCCAAGATTGCTGTCAGAAGGGGAGATAAAAGCATGCAATGGAGGAAGGATAGCATCTTCAACAAATGGTGCTGGGAAAACTGGAAATCCATATGCAACAAAATGAAACTGAATCCCCT